TAATGATCATACAATTAAGACTGCTGAAACCGTTTGGGATACTGTATATGATTTTTTTTTCCTCTTTGCATTTAATTTTTCTTTAATATGATTTAATCAATTCTGGTAAATTATTATTTACTAGAGTTTAATTCTTTCGAAATATCTTGAAAAACAATGTGATGAAAATAAATTGAATTTTAAAGGGAAAAAAGTGATTGAAGTGGTAAATCTCAATAATTCATATAAATTCTTTTATTTTATTTTATTTTATAAATATTTTTGTCATTATATTTTTAAGGGTGCGGGCAAATCTATACCTTCACTTGCATCATATATTTTAGGAGCAAGCTTGGTAACTATAACGGATGTACCAAGTGTGATTCCCGAAATTAAAAAAATTATAAAATTAAATGGATTCGAAAATACAAATGTCTTTGCTAAACCATTAAATTGGAAAGATAGGTTGGAATAAATTTCATTTGAAATCATTTGAAATACGAATATTTCTAGAAAAACTTTGTCGATTTTAGGAAAGAACATATGTCAATTTTGATCAATGAAGGTCCATGGGACTATATCTTGGCTGCTGATGTAGTTTGGGTAGATTATTTAATCGAACATTTAGTTGATACTATTAGTGGTAAATCAAAGGCTCTGAAATTATGTTCTTTACACATTTTTTTTCCCTAAAAATGAATTTTTTTGAAAATTATAGAATTATCAACTCCATCTCACACAACACTTTTTCTTGGTCACCAAACACGAACAACAAGATCTGATGAATTATTGTTTGATGCTTTAGAAAAGCATAATTGGAAAATTCATAAGATTTCAAGAAATGAATTAAATTTGGCAGAAGGATTTTGGAAAGATAATGTTGAAATATATCAAGGAAAAAAGTTTCTTTGATAAAATTAAGAATTTAATGTGTATTTTTTTTTTCTTTTTTCCTTGGAAATAAACTACAACTTTAAAGAATAAATGATCTATTTCTATGGGTTCCCGGTACGAGCATTATCGTAATTTTGAATGAACCACTCTGTAGATTCCTTCATGGCTTATTATAAAAAAGATTACGTTAGCTCAAATTTTTTCATGCATTATTTAAAAGGCAAGTAAAAAGGGTGGTTGAACCTACCAACATCAAAAGGTGTGAATTGGAAATCAGGAAGATATTTCATTAATTTCGCATTGTTAGCCGTCTTTTTATATTGTCCATCAGCCTTGGAAGTATCAAACTGAAAATAATGAATAGTTTTAATAGAATCAAGAGACATTAAAAACCAAATTGAAAAAAATCCTTTTGGTAACTTACGCTATATTCTCCTTCAAAGCCAACAGCTTTTACAATGGCATTGGATACATCTTTAATGCATACTTCATCTTTTTCACCAACTAAAAAAAGCGGGAATTTAGATTTCGAATGATAATTATTGTATGTTTATTCATAAGATCCTTTTTATGTATTAAAAAAAAATTACCTGATAAGATAATAGGATCAATTTCTTTATATTCCCTCAATACCCAAATAAATAATTTTGCCAAATCACGTGAATAAATAAACTGGCGTAGAGGTTTACCAGTTCCAGAGACAATAAAAGGTGTTCCATTTTCTTAAATGGAATTATTATTTAAGAACTATCATTTTTTTTATTAAAAAAAAAGTGAGCATTATAAGAAAAATAAACTTACTTTTGGCAAGAATGCATTTATGAATCAATCCAGGAATCACATGGGAATCTTGTATATCATAATTATCATGAGGACCAAATACATTTGTTGGAATAACTGAAGTAAAGTTATCACCAAATTGATCATTATATGCTCTATAAAGAATTTTTTTTTTGGTATTACGATAAGGGGGTCATATTAACAAACATCTTGAATAAATTTAATCTTACTTATTTTGGGAATCTATTAATCGTTTTGCGTACGCGTAACCAAAGTTGGATTCATGTGGAGGTCCATCATGAATCATCGTCTCGTCGATTGGGTATGTTGTTTTATCGGGAAAGATGCACGTAGAAAGGCACGAAACAACTTTCTCAACCTATAATACGTACAAATGATTTTTATTAAAGAATAGCATCAACATTGGTTTATTTAATTTCTTACTTTATGTTCATGAGCAGTATGTAAAACGTTATCATTGATTAATAAATTATCTCGTAGAAAATCCAATTTATATTTTATATTTTTGAAAAGACCACCAACAAGAGCAGCCAAATGTATCACATGAGTTGGCTTATACTTTTCAAAGATAGCACGCGTAGCTTCTACAGACCTAAAAAAAGCAAGAATTGATCTTATATTCAATTTAAATCGATCGAATTTAATTAACGAATATTTCAGATAATTACCTCAAATCACCATCTTTACTTGTGATGAAAATCCATTTTTCACCTTCACCTTTACCATATTTTCCTTTATCATTTTCAATGACCCACTCGATGGCCTTTCCTACAAGGCCAGAACCACCGGTAACTAAAATTACTTTCTCGAGTGCCATTGAAAATAATTAATTTATCCTATAAGAAAATGTTAAATATGAATTAAAAATTCTAGAAAAAAAAGAAAACATTTAGAAAAAGACTCTTAGTTATACTTTTTATCATTGGTCAAGCTTTTGACATTTATGTTCCACAAAAAAAAATGTAACAATTTTTGAGATAAATATGGATCGTTGGATTATTTGGCTTTGAAATTTTGAAATATTTTTTACATTTTTTTTTAGTTTATTTGTTATTCAAAGAATCCAAAAGATTATTTCTCTGATAAAACTTTGAAGTCGCAAATTCTGAGCTTCCGCCTTGCTTGGTTGGTTTTCTTGTTATACCTCCAATTAGCCTTAGTTTCAGTTTTCGTCAATTTTAAACAAAATTTTTTCAAGATTTATTTAATACAATATGAGTACTATGGAAACTACCGATATGAGAGTCTTCGTTGCCTTGTTAATGAGGGTAGCAAGGGCTTTTTTCCAAACGGCACATATTGTAGTGTTGGATCAGCTTACTAAACATGAAGCAATCAGCGACGAAAACTTGGCAAAGGGCGTTGGTCTTAACGTTAAAGAGATCCACAAGCTTTGCGGTACTCTGAAAGAAGCGCGCCTCATAAAAACGTTCTCAAAAACAGAATCAAAGAAAGCAGAACAGCGAGCAATGCCAAGAACCTATTATTACGTTGACTGGCAGCAGGTAGTTAATTATTTTAGGTTGCTGCGAATTTCCAAAACAATCTGATCAATCCTCTTTTTATCAGGTCGTCAATGTTATAAAATGGAAAATTTTTAAAATCAGGGAGATGGTTGGAGATCGAATGCGAAGTGTATGAAATCAAATTTTGTTTTGAATTATAAATTAAATTAGAAAAATTTATTTATTAAAAAAATAATTTATTTTTATCCTAAAGGAACAAGAAAACAAAGGGTATCTATGCCCAGGCTGTAAAAAAGTGTTTGCACCTCTTGACGTTCATAACCTTTTTGATCCAAATCGTGATGCATTTATATGTGACTTATGTCACTCTGAATTGGATCATAACGACAATGCTGAAAATGTAAAAGGATCTGAGAAACTTCATGGAAGGTAATGTTTAAGGATCTATTTTTATCAATAATTATTATGGTCTTTATTTTCTGATTGTAATTTTTAAAAATTTATAGGTTCATGGAGCAAAGTCAACCGATAATCGATTTATTGAAATCTATCGATAAATTACGAATCCCTGTGTACGTTGTACTTATTTACATATTTACATTGAATCATGTTTGAGATAGAGTTTGAATTTTTGTTTATCATTATTTGTATAAAAGTTCTTCAGTTGAGAAGTTTCAACATGGGTCAGGTGCAAAGAATGGACAACCTGGTTCTACACGTATGTAATAATTTATTTATATGTTATAGTGTTCTTATTAATTTATTTATTTGTAAACATATTTTAAATTATATTTAGAGGAACAAGATGTACAATTTGCCCAAGATACTAATTTTCAATCGGAAGGTCTCGTCATTGTGTTCCAAGATGATAATGAAACTTCAAAGATGGAACGACAGGCAGAACTTGAGAAGAAACGGCAAGTATTCCCCGAATAACTACATTTTAATAGCATTCATTTGGGGAAAATCTATTCATTTCTACTTTTTTATATAGGCAACAAAATGCGTTACCTGCTTGGCACGTGCGTAGTACCGTATCTGGTGATGTGATGGTTGCAAATGCCTGGAGTCAAGGTGCAGCAAAAGAAATTGAAGAACAAAAGGTAGAAAATGTTAGAGTTAATGAGAAAGGTGATGAAGGGCATAATCGATATTTAGAGGAGTATTATGCTAACCTTTATCAAGATACTGATACGTCTCCAATGGTCGAGGAAGATGATGAATTTGAAGAGGTAGATGTGGAGGGAAGTGAAGAGGTTTTCGAAGGAGACTTCGAAGAAGTCGAAATTGACACATATAACGGAAATACATACGCCGAAGATGATGATGATTTTGAGTTAGTCGAAGATTCACATCGATATACCAAACGACAGAGAACTGATGATAATTATGGAAATTATCGTGGAAATGGTAATAGAAAATCCATTGGTACTCATTATTAGATTAATAATAGCGTTTTATTGAAGCAAAATTTATTTATGATTATACGTATTGATATGATCATTGAGAAGAACAATTAGAGCATAACTTTATTCATGTTAAATGAATAATAATATCATTACATTTTTTTTAAAACAAAAAAAAAAACATTATACTTTTATTTAAGAGCGAATATATAGAGATATGTATATGTAGTTGCTTTTTTACTTTTATTCTTGGCTGGTTGATATGCATATATTCAGATTATTTTTTTATTTTTATAAATCAAAAATTTACAATTATAAATAAAGAAGTATTATGAATAATATCAAAGTTTTATATAAAAATATTCAAAGTACTATATAGATACAAGTATTAAACAAATAAATATTAATAAAATATTAATAAAATTTGAATGTAATATATAATAAACGATACCAATTATAAATTCAAATCTTTTTTAAGTTCTTCAGCATCTAAATTAAAACAAACATAAATAAGGAAAGATTGTTATTAAAACAACAATTTTAACGTAAATTTAAGTCAATTTAATCACCTTCGCTAGAAGCTCTGTGAACATCGTATCTTCCAGGTCTTGCGGGAGAAGTTGATGTAACGGATGCAGAATTATTATTATTATTATTATTATTATTATTATTACTACTATTATTATGATTATTATTATTTGGAAATTCGGGATCATCGTTTATTTTATATGGAGAATCTGCAGAAGCAGAATCGGTTGTGGATTGACTTTGATATTCTTTTATAATTTTGATTTGATGATTATTAGTCGAACTAAATACATCATCATCGTCTGTACCTTTGTTAACATCAATACCATATGATCCATAGACTGGTCGAGATTTCAAAGGTGACATTCGAGTATTAGACGTATCAGAAGTAACACTGGTGTCCGTGTATTGACGACCAACATTACTTTGTCGTGGTGGTTGTTGTAAAGGAGAAAAATCTTCACCAAGTAAGGGATTATCAGCTTCATAACCAGGTAAATTTGTATAATGAGGAGTAGATTGTTGAGTTGTTTCATTCCTTGCTACTGATTGTTGTTTAAATTTATCATACCACTCTTTAACTTTCTTTTTCGTTGCTAAAAAAAAAATAAGAAAATAAGGAAAAAATTTTTTTATTTAATTTTATACGAATTATCTCTCCAAGATTTTTTGAATGTAAAAAAAAAACTCACTATCAGCAGCTTGCACGATTTTTTCTTTGATCACAGGTAATTCTTCTATAATAAGAGAAATGATTAAAAATGAATTAATATATATATATATAGTATATAATAATTTTAAAATATTTACCTGAGAAATCGGGGAAAGGTGATTGCGATTGTTGTTGTTGCTGTTGTTGCTGTTGCTGTTGCTGTTGTTGTGATCGTTGATATTGAGGATTTTGAGCATAAAATTCTCCTAAAAAAATAAATAAATAAATAAAAAAATATAAACAAATAATTTAAAAAAATTTCGAAAAATTTTATTACATTAAAACTTACTATCTGCTTCAGCTGCTAAATTTCTGGCTAATTCTTCATCACGCTCAATCTGTTCTTTGGTACTAGAAGTTAATTGTCCAGACTATATAAAATTTAAACATGAATGTTAGTCTCAAATTTTACAATCAAATATAAATTGAAGGTTATATATACCTCAGTTTGAACTGGAATCATTTCTTCACTTTCATAATTTGGGTCAGAAATACCCAAAAGAATATTTAGGCTTTGTTCTAAACTTCCTTGATTAGCTTCTAATACAGCCTCGCATACCTCAGGATCTACAGCAGGGAACATTCCCTTCAAAGTATTTAACGCTTCTATTCTTTGAGCTGCCATTGTTTCATTGTTTTTTGAAATTTCCTAAAAAGTTTGTAAAAAAAAAAAAAAACCAAATCTAGGATTTTTCTTTTTTTTTAGGCATATATAATCGACATGTCAAAAAATTTTATGGTTAGCCGGTTTTTTTGCCGGAATAAATTTTGGGGGTGATCTCTTAACCTGGCACAGACGTTATATTGAATGACGTATTACTTGGCAATTTGACAATTGTTCTCTCATTATTTTTTTTTCATAAGGATGAATTTAGTTGATGAAACGAATTTTGCTACCAATTTTCTTAACTCTTTATCTTCACGTGCTGTGAAATATCCTCAAGACTTTGCTCCTCCTCCTCAAACGCGCCAAAAACCAGTAAGTTGGTTAAATCCAAGCCAAATTCGGCTTACAATTTTTTTTTAACCTAAACGATTTATTTTTAGACTTCAAATGTATTATTGTCAAACAAAAGCAGAAAATCAACGGGTAAACCAAGCCTTCAAGAAGTTTCACAAAATGTTGAGCCTGTTCAAGGTATTAATAACAAATATAATATGTTTTTTTTTAAACTATTCATTATTATAGTTATTTATTATTTCTGTAGGAGTTCCAATTCAAGTAAAAATTAAATCATTAAAAGGAGGTCAAACGTATACAATTCAATTAAATAATTCTGATACAATTCTTAATCTTAAAGAGAAATTACAACCACTTGCTTCAATTTCTGTTATTAATCAAAGATTGATATTAAAAGGAAAAGCTTTGATTGATACTAAAACTTTATATGAATATGGTATTAATAATGAAACTACAATACATTTAGTTCAAAAATCTGGTAGTTCTTCAATTAGTTCTATTACTTCTGATGCAATACCCATTCCTACACCTTCTTCAAGTTCCACTCAAGAACTTCCTAAAGATCAAAAACTTTCTTCTGCTGCTACAGAGAAATTGAAAGATCCTCGATTTTGGCATACTTTACGTAATTTTCTTCAAGGTCAATTTTCTCAAAATGATGCTGATCATGTTTGTAAAGATTTTTTAAGTATTTATAAAGAATTTAATATTGAAGATTTTGATAAACTTATAAAAACTGCAGAATGAGTTAAGAATTAGTGATAGATGATAATATGACAATCAAAATATCTTTTTAAGTTCTGAAAATAAAATATCTATATTTTTTGACACGTTAAATTAAGTTATTCCCTTGTGAAACTGTGATTTACATTTTTTTTTAAAAAAAAAAAAATAATCATCCGCGTAATAAAGTTTTTCCTATCAAAACTTCAAAATGCTTAAAATCAAAATAAATAAATAAATACATTTTATATATATAAATACAATGAACCTTGAAAAAAAAAAAAAAAAAATCTAAAATTACAAGTTAAATAAAAATTCTTTAAATTCATAAGGCAAACGTTAATTTACATATAAAACAAAACAAAACAAAAAAACCTGAAATCTAATATCTTCGATACACTCGTTACCTCTCGCTACTCGTGACATTTTTTATAATTTTATTATTATTGGGGGGGGGGGGGGGTTTTTAAATACTGAAGTAAGGTAAGTAAGGAATATATATAAACATGAGTGATATTAAAAAGCTTACAATGATAGGAGTAGTTGCTGATAAAGGTACTGCTTCTACACCACCTATAGAAATTATTTGGGACGAAAGAGGATTAAGAGCAGAAATTAAAAATTATTGATTAAATTAAAGATAATTTGCAAAAATATAAATAATTCATTATACCTAGGAAATTTGCAATCTTGGTAACAATGATCTCATTAAATCTAATTTTTAAATAAGATAGAATCATAGGATGGATTTGTAGCAAAACTTAACAAAAATAAAAAATAAACAGCAATGAATAAAAATAAATCCTACTTACAACTTTGTCCTTGCCTTTATTTTTTCCTGTTGGACTTTCCACCGAACTTTGCAGCTCTACAAATGGCTCCCTCCGTCGTTCCGTTTGACAAACCGTACATGTTTCTGGTTCATTCTCCGTAGAATAGCTTGATTCGGTCTCGAGACATCTACGATGGTAACCGTGGCCGCAACGGAAAAGTAATAGGTCGTTTTCTTGAATCGTTGACGACGTTGGCAAAGTTTGAGGAGAAGGCGGTAATGGAGGAAGTGGTTTGGATGATGTCGAAGCTTCATCAGACTGATCAGATTCTCCAAGAAATTCAAGGGTCGGTAAGGCATCTGCAGAATTGGCAGGGTTTGATATAGTGGATGAATTGGGCGTTTTCTTTTCGGGTGAACCCCAACCAGATGTTGCGCGGAGGGTCAGTGGGTTAAGATCCGTTCCCCAGAATTGACCCCCACACACTTCACATGCCCCCCTACGAGGACGCCAGCCTTTACCACGCTGTCTAACCACGCCTGCTACCCCCATGAACAAGTCTTTTTCAAAAAGTCGGTTGGTCATAGCCAGCAACTGACCTTCATATTTATATGTATCAATCATCCCCACGAAAATGTCCCTAAAGTCCGAAACGGTACTATTCCTTTTGGCTTGCGACATAAATCTAAGCAATAGTCTCGGCAGTGAAACGTAAGGTGAAGATGTGGACAACAATAAGGATCTCATAATAGACTGAACGTAAGATTTAAAAGTTGTGATTAAATGATTTGCAATATGTGGTGGTATAGGTGATTTCGGCACTTCAAATGAGGACATTTGCCCGTTGGCTAAAAGTCTTTCTGACATCATTGGAGGTATTGGTGGTATAACGCTGTTTGACACAGCTTTGGTAGCATTCAAAAACGCATCAAGAAGTTTAAACCATAATAATTCGGTTTCACTTTCTGTAGCACGGTTCACTTGAGGCACAGCAACAACACCAGCCGAACCCTTGGCTAAAGTCGCTCGTCGACAACTATTCTCACATAAAAGAATGCCAATCTTGAGTACACCTTTTAACTTCATTAAAGATGTCTCTATTTTGGTTTTTTCTAGTAATGTCCATCGATCGTTCTTGTCATTTTTTTTCTCATCAATCAATGCAAGAATTTCTTCCTTTTTTTCTTGAATAATATCCAAGATCTTGTCAAGTGCACCCGTGGCATTGCCACTTTTTTCTAATATCCAAACCACTGCGTCTACAATTCCAGTGGCTTCACAAATAGGTAATACATAATCTATTCGATATGTTTCTTGATGAGTTTGTAAATAATGGTATACTCCTGTAGGATCAAAATGGCACATCAATGCAATATACTGTTCATGAATATCTGGATCTATATGAAAAGACTCTGATTGTGCATCAGACATGATCACTTGTTCTTCAACGTTTCGAACCCTCATAAGTTCTCCACCTGTTATATTTTCTTGAGAAGGTTCCAATAGTCCCCTCAAATAAGTAAATAAACGTGCTGGAGATGATTTCAAATTCGAGATTACATTTCGATGATCACAGTTAAAATATGCTTTAATTATTGCGGCAGTCTGTTCGCCATCAATATCAACAATGTCTTCAATTCTCGTTATAATTGTTCGTGTAACCTTTTCTCGTTGTTCATTTGTAAGCTTACTATTTGTATTTAATAAGTTACGAATACAATCAAAGACTTCTTTTCTTCGATCAGGATCTTTTAAATAGGTTGTCACCAATAAATCATATTTTTTTTCCGCCTTGTACACATGTTCCAATACTCTCCAAAAACCAGCATTTTCATATAATTGAACCATCTGATTTTCATCTGATGGGATATAAATAGATAATAAACATTCAACTGAAAGCTGTCGCTCTTCACGAGTGTGAGGATCGTTATCAGTACTAAGTTTGACAAGCATATTATGTATTACAGAAGGAGGTAATAACAGGAATTGTGGATATTTAGGTAAATTTCGTGCTACAAAACTATATAAATAGGAAATATCTTTCTGGGAAAATTCTGAGCTATCAGAAGAACCTGTCATTACTTCTAACAGGATATTCACTAATAATTGACGATTAATAATTTTCCCAGGTAAATCCTCCTCCTCAAAATATTCGTCACCATTCATAATTATTTCGACTCCATTTAAATAAGAATCCTCAAAAGCAACTTCTAAAGCTTGCAAAAAAGCTTTTGCATCAAATCTTAAAAATATTCGAAGATAGGGATAAGTAGGTTCTGGTCCTTTTATTTCATCCTCAGCTGTTAAAATTAATTCTCCACCGTGCCTGGGCCATACAACACAACGACCCGAAAATACAAATGAATATAATGTTGTTCTGGCTTCATTAGCCTCCGCCTCAGTAAGTGGGGCACCATTGGGATATGTGTGACCAGTAAGTATATTTTTCATATAGGTATAAAACTTGCGGGCATTTGTTTTCATTGTCTCCAGATCTTCACCCGTTTCAAGTCCATTAGCATCAATCGATATGGATGATCTTGACGAAGTAGATCGATGCTTCTTTTTCTTACGTTTTTCAGAAATCAAGATTTTTCTGATTACTTTAAGAAGCTCGACAGCTGGATTAACGTAATCGACCATAGAGCGATTCCAGACATAAATCATCGCATCATAAAGTCCTTCATTTTGACATAATTGAACCACTTGATCAATGTCAATGCATTGAGGATTAATGTGCCATATGCATTTTTCGACTTTTACAAGCATACGACGATCCCTATAATGGTCGACTAGATCTTTCATTATTTCAGGTGGTAAGTCCTTTATTTTATCATCAAGTATGTGTGATCCTATAACTTCAAGTAGTATTCCTTTAGCAGAAGCATCAGAATAGGTAGGATCAGAATATCGTTCATAAACATCGTTAAATATGAAATCCTCTCGGTGCATACTAAGACAAGCCTCAATACACGCAATAGCTAAATCATGAAACAAGACTGTACCACTACCATTATGTTCATCAACCATACCCTGGAAAGTACGTTCACTTGAGAATGCATAATTTATTGAAGCATTCAAAAGCTCCATGAGTTTTTCGCCTACAATTGCATGCCGGCTCTCTTCATCATCTGGTAGACCAAGAATTGTTTGAGATGATGTTTTATTATAAAAAGATGTGGCTAAAGCTATAGCTTCAAGGAAATCACCAGATTGCACAAGTGCAAGTATACGATCAGCCCATGATAAGAGTGTCCCAACATAAATTTGTCTCACACCCTATAATTAATAAGACCAAAATAATTCAGGAATAATTTTTATTGATAATACTGGAAATAAATTATTAATTAAATGCATACCAAAAGAAATACGTTTCCTTTATATACGCGCATACTATGATAGTAAGCCAATTCAAACGTTGGTCTTGATATATCTGCTTGCGCGTTTGAGTCATCTGTAACATCCTTCAAAAGCGAGGAGTACCTATCATGATATACTAATGACCTTTGACGAATATTACTTTGCTCAAATTCCTGCAAAAATTTTGGATCAAATACGATAATATCTTCGGTATTTGTCAAAATCAACAATATCTGTAATACCACATTTGGTTACGTTGGAATATAAAATCCAATCGAATGATCAACATGCGACATGCTGCCTTTTATGGATAATTAAACAGAAATCAACTAATGATTAAAGTCACCTGCGGGGATAGCCATTGTAGTCCAACTATGCTATTCCTCGATTTCCAATCGCCAATCTTGGTGAATTCGAGCTTGATATCTCGTTCAGACCGTCTTTTCCTCGATGATGAGAGTTCAGCATTAACAGAAAGCGAGACATCTACTTTTAAAATCGTCAAGTGATTACCCCACGAAAATGCAAGTAGAGGATCGGAATACTCGATTGGTGCATCTTTTTTTAATAAAAAAATTTTCCCAATATGTATGTATAATATATACGTAAATAATAAAATTTACTAGAATTCTAAATAAATAAAATATAGTTGGATTTACCATCATTTAGTTGAAATTTAACAGCGGGATACCATGCCAAACATCCAGAAATTGATTTTGATGAAGGATCGACTGAAACATTTTTAGGTTTCAAATAATTAAATTGGGTTTGAGCTGTTGGTTTCGTACTAACTATAATCATCTATTTATAATAACAAACCGAAAATTATTAACATTAAATTAATAACAAGAAATTTAATACAAAGGATTCAATAAAATGGATACTTTATAAGGCGTTAGCATCGCGACAAGTCCAAAACCTTCAGATCCATGAGGTGATTGTCCAAGAGGCAAAGGTGCTAGACCGAATACTGTACTTGGTCTCCTTTGTTTAGAAGCAGTTGTATCAGAAATGGATGTTCGAGCAGGATATCTACCAAGAATACGTGTGGTTTCTGTAGCGTTAACCAACATGATTTTGTATAGATTGTGATAAAATGCCATTCCCTTTTTAAGGAATTTTTTTTGAAAGAAAATTTTGTTCAAAAAAAAAAAAAGCAAAAATTAATTAGAATATGTGATACCATATCCTTAAAAAATATAAATCAGTTCGATCCTCATTCATTCCATAAACTTATTAAAATATTTGTTATAAATATATGACTCGAAATCCTTTTTACTCAACAGAAACATACATTATCATCTCCGGAAACTATTCCATTTTTTCTTACACCAACAAATCCAACATGTAAAATTGATGAACCACGAATATGTCCTTCTTTTCTGCCACCTGAGGCAACAGCTGAAGTTATAGGTAATATAGATCGCACGGGACTTATAGGTCTTTGTAAATCCCATATAAATATATGTCCCTCTGCATGTCCACTGACAATTTGAGTGTGGTCAGAAGAAATAGCGAGTGAAGTAACCGCACCATGCTCAAGAGCTAACGATTAAAAATAATGATTTAAAAATTTTTTAAAAAATAAAAAGATATATATTGATAATGAAAACTCTCAATACATTACCGTTAACTGTACTTCCAAGAATGCATTTTAAAGTTTGCGTATAATCATATACCATAATCGAACCACGAGTAGTTCCAACTGCGATAACTCCACTAACCTGTAAAATAAATTAAAAAATTTTTAAAGAATGGTTCAAGAAGGTTATAACATTGGTTATGGAAGAAATGCTTACAGCTAGCACTGTAGCCAAACCTTCACTTTGCTTTGTATCTGAGGAGTACAAATGGTCTGATATTTTTGACAAAGGTGTCCATCGAAAAGCTTCCCATGGCTCAGGTGGGGCAAGCAATCCCAAGTCCTCAAGACCTAATACTGAAGGAGATGACGAGCGTGACAATCGAGATGATGCTTTAGATTGCATTGAAGGATTTGACGCAGATGATGCAGAACGTAATCGTGCTAAACTAGGCTCAAGAGCTCTTAAAGAACTTGGGGAAAGTGGGGTCGTTGATGTTGTTGTTACAGATCTGCGAGATATGTCTGATAACGAATCCTATAAAAAATCATTAGTTAGAATAAGAAATCTCAAAGCAAATATAATGATACTACAAATACCTGAATTTCGGATTCAGTATCTAAAGTTTCCGAATCTATGAATTCATCCTCACTAGAACCTTCTGATTCATTCAAAATTCTATCTAGGCTAAGATGTTGTGCTAAAATCAAAACAATTAACTCGTTAATAAATGTTGAAGACGATATAAATAAAAAATTTTTAAAATAATAATCACCTCTATTTACGAATTCATCATACAAAGCGGCCTCTTTCATGACCCGTTCCAGCAGATCAGCGACTTTCTTTCTTCGTTGTGTTCCCAAAGTTGATGGATCTGCCAATGGTCCACCTTGTAAATGTATTTGAAGATCTTCTTGAAGTTTATATAATTCAGTCAGTACAGATTTTATCGTACTTTCCGGAGTAATTGGGAGATCCAGCTCCGATATTCGAAGTTTATTAAAGCAAGTTTCGATATCAACTAATGAAGAAACACCGTTCACTGATAGTATGAAACAAATTCGTAAATGAATTCAGTTGTATTGATCAATGACAATTTTTCATAATAATTTTTAAAAATTCCTTACCAAGACGCGATATCGATCCCTCTGCTACTTTTGGTTGTGGTTGAACGTCCTGTATATCGGTAGTCGGAGTAGATGGCTCATCATTACTATTTTTGAGAATCGGAATTCAATTTCCCATCAATAAACAAATTTATTAAATGTTTGAAACTATTTTGCGTTTATAAAAAAAATATGAAATCTGTTCATAATGATCAAAATTTTCTAACCTTCCATCAGAATCTTCATCGTCTTCTCCACTGTTCCCACTTGTCAGCCCACTATTATCATGTAAGAGCTCAATTGCCCTTTTCATTGCGTCAGTCAAACCCGCAGCTTTCCATGCCTCTTTCAGATTACATAAATACTTTTCTGCTTGAGCTGTATCCTCCAAAGCAGCTTCAAGTTCTGGTGGTAATGGCCCTTCCGGGATACTATTTGTATACAATGGAAAATTCTTATAAAAGTCATCGTCCGCGTCTGATTCTAGTATTCCTTTTAACAAACCGTCATATGTTTCGGTTTCAAATGTTGTGGGTGTCATTACTCATGTAAACCTTGGGATGACTAAACTACATACAATAAACTATTAACACCCTTTTTTTTTTTTAAAGTTTAGCGTTATCAATGTTCGAGTTGAAAAATAATGGGTTTTTATACTAACCGACAATCACTTTTTTGTAAAATCGGAAATTTTGAACAAACTTTCAACTTTCGAACCGGAAATTTTTTATATTATTTAATATAATTTTAGAGTAGAATTCCGGAAATTTTCCGGAAATTTCGAATTTCAGCCACAGGCAGGTCACATGTCATTCGATCATTTTGTAGTAATATAGTATATCAACTTTCGTAATTACTATATTTATTCATATATAAAACAATAGAAAAATTTTTGATATGCAAGACAATCGTGAGTGTGTAATATATAGGATGCTAATGATCCGATCCTTAAGATCGATTTTAACACCCGAACTTTAGACCGGTCTTAGGATAATTTGGGAGGTTTGCTATTAAAAGCACTGTCAATCAGCTCAAAAATCAAGTCGACAAGTTCAATTAGGTGGCCCCCAAGTTAAATGACCACATGATGGACCAATCTATACCCCTTCAAATTTGGACCGAAATCAGTCATATGATCGGATCGCGTTTTATTCCCAAAATTCAAAAAAATACGCGCATGGTATTGAAATTGGCCTATACAAAAAATGTTTAGTCGCCACCTTAGAAATGCTAAACAGATTCACTTAAACCTTTATCGAACAACTAATAAAAATTGTGTGTTTAATTTGTACCGAAACATATCTACAGTTAACATACGTCGGCGAATGTTAATCTGGGAAACTGAAAAGAAAAGATCAGATCTTTTAAATGTACAATCACAAAATATAATCAACATTACTTTAAGGGATGGAACTGTGAAAAAAGGAAGTTCGGGCATTTTGACGCCATTAGAATGTGCGAAAGGTAAATTTAGTAGTGTTTGTCTATTTCTTATTATACCTTAATAATTTTTAATTTTTAATAGGTATTTCACTTAAGCTTGCCAATGATTCCATCTTGGCACTTATTAATTCTCGTGAACTTTATGATATGAATCGGCCTCTTACCGATTCATGTACTTTACAATTTCTCCCTTCTTTAATAAACGTTCCTACAGCCAAGGAAGTATTTTGGCATTCGACTTCTCACTTGTTAGGCCTAGCTCTTGAAACAAAATATGGTGATGATATCTTATTATGTGATGGGCCATCACTAAAGCAAGGTGGATTTTTTTATGAATTTCTACTGAAAAGGCATACTGATCAACTGGATAATGGACTCGGATATATATCTAAAGTGGATAATTTACATGAAATAATTGCTAAACTCATCAGATCACCAAAATTTAGAAGGGATCCTTTCAGTTTAAAAGAATTGCAAGAAATTTTGAAAATCATGTATGAATGTGCTTCAAAAAAATACCCATTCGAACGTCTGGTTGTTTCGAAAGACGTAGCTTATGATATGTTTGCTAATAACCCATTCAAATTATATTACATATCAAAAATACCAGATAATGAGCAAATTACACTTTACAAATGTGGATCATTTATTGACCTTTGTCGTGGACCTCATATCTCAAACACTGAACATGTCGGAGCGATAGATTTGTTAAAATGCGCAAACGCTTACTGGACTCCTGATCTTGATAGTGACAAAAGTTCTCCACAATCTATTGTTCGTATTTATGGAATTTCATTTCCTAATGCTCAAGAACTTAAAACTTGGAGACAAGAACAAGAGTTAGCACAAAAACGTGATCACCGGGTAACAGCAAAATCTCAGCGACTTTTTATGACCCATCCTTCGAGTCCAGGATCTGTTTTTATGCTTCCACATGGTACTCGTATTTTTCAAAAATTACAAAATTATATTCGCGTAAAGTATAGGGAATTTGGATACGAAGAAGTTATGACCCCAATGATTTTCAAAAAGGAATTATGGGAAACATCTGGACATTGGCAGAATTATCGAACAGAAATGTTTACTGTACACCATAATGCTAATCAAAATGACAATAATGATATTTATGGATTAAAACCAATGAATTGTCCCGGACATTGTTTGATATTTGATAGTACACCAAAATCTTATCGTGATTTACCATTGAGACTAGCGGATTTTGGGTCGTTACATAGGTATATATTTTTAGTATATATGTTTTATTTATTAACCATATCTTACGTAACTGATGAGTTTCCTTTGATATCTCAAGATTATATGATGAAGCAGTGTGCTAATAATTTAAAATAAAAATACAGAAATGAAACGTCGGGTGCACTGTCTGGACTCACCAGAGTTCGTCAATTCCATCAAGATGATGCTCACATCTTTTGTAGGGAATCTCAGATTTTTGAAGAAATATCTGCTACTTTGTCATTTATTGACATCATTTATAAAGATCTAAGATTTCCTCATTATGAAATATTTTTGTCGACGAGGCCAGAAAAAAATTTTATTGGCGAAATCAAAGAATGGGATCACGCCGAGGATGCACTCAAAAAGGCGTTAAATGCGACCGGAAGACAATGGTCCATCAATTTTGGAGATGCTGCTTTTTATGGGCCCAAGGTAGATATTATGGTTGAAGATGCTCTTCATCGCATGCATCAAACAGCAACCGTCCAACTTGATTTTCAACTTCCTCGGAGATTTCGACTTAAATATTGTGATGAAAATGGTGCATACAAAACCCCAATTATTATTCATCGTGCAATTTTGGGATCTGTCGAACGGATTATGGCTATATTAATCGAACATACAGGTGGCAAATGGCCTTTCTGGCTAAGTCCGAGGCAAGCGATTATTCTTCCAATGGGAGGATCCAAATTCATTGATTATGCGGAACATGTCTGCAATTCTTTAAAATCTGGAAATCTCCAACAAAATTACTTTGTGGATGTGGATCGTTCAGAAAATTCATTAAATAAAATGATTAAAACTGCTCAGTTATCGCAATATAATTTCATATTAGTAATTGGAGAAAAAGAGAGAGACACACAAACTATGAATGTTCGACGAGATGGCAAATTATTGGGTAACATGACAATAGACGAACTGTTGAAGCATTTCAATGATTTACACAAAAGTCATTTATGATTGAATTTTTATTAAAAAAAAATATATTGATTTTCAGAATCTAAGTATAGACATATGAATATGAGTTATAGCTAACGATGATAAGTATTGTTTGACTAATATTTAAATAAATTGTAGATACAATGTGTGAATAAAAAGATACATATAATTGAAGCTTTTTTGGATATTACACAATACCACTGCAGATTTATTATTATTGGATAACTGCACGAATACTGCGAAAAAAAAAATTTGTTGCTACTAATCGTTGCACGAGGTTATTGTGCCGACTTGCATAAAAAAACTTTTATGTCCTAATGTGCAAGGTCGATGAATTTTATTTGTTGAAGGAACAATTATTAAACAATAGTCAGCAGATAACAATAATATGCAAAGGTGTGTGAAATCTAAAGTAAAAAATTTTATGTATTTAAAATATATTCAGCCATCATCGATTAAGATTTGCAATTGCATAATGATGCCTTTTGTATTTGAATTTTACGGAAGGTTTTGAACTTCATCCCGCCTTATCATATAAATGCCGGTGAATATTCCGTAACGATCCTACTTAATTTACTTTTTAACGATATATTTTTAGTTAATTTATTTGAAATTTGAAAAAAAAAAAAAAAAAATGGAAATAATTAATTTCACTTTATCAAGATTATTAATTCAAGTTTTTTGAATGCGTTATTAAAGATAAGCTTTATTTAAATTATCTTATTTCATCTATTATTTACAGTAGATTATTCTATTTAATAATTTTCCCCTGGAATTTTACATATATTAAAAATTATTTATTAAAAAAAATTTTTATATTAATTTGACTTTTTATTTAACATTTTGAATTTAAATTTTTAATTCGTAAGAACCTTTGTTTCGAGGTAAAGTTAATTACAAAAATTTGGAAATAAATCGAAATTAAAAATTTGATACATATTTAATAATATCATTAGGCCGCTCCAACAAATAGTTTCGTTTAACATCAACCTCACCCTCTATTTTTCCAAAAATTTGGATTTATACAAACATTTATATATCACGTGATTTCATAAAAAATATAAATTTGAAAAATTGTTTATTAAAAGATTGATTATACTAATATTATTATGTAAAACTCATATCCTTTTTCTTTTTTTTTTGTTGATTCCTCACCTTTTTTTTTACTTCAAGTATGAAAAAATAAAAGTTGACAATTAGAACAAAGCAGATATACAGATTGATATCTATTAAGCAAATCTTCAATTGTCTTTACTAATGAATTATTTTTATCACAATAATAACAAATAGGAGATTTTTTTAAATGGCTTGAATAATAACCACTTTTAATTGGAGAATCACAGCTAAGAGATTGATGAATAATTAAAAACATCAAGAATATGATGAAAAACGTCAAAATGCAGCTGAGAAATATTAAAAAATAGATGATAAATCAATTAGAACAAAATCAGCACAAATGATTAGTGAGGATGAACATTGGATCTCCCAAGAAATTCTCTGTGAAGAATAACATAAATCTGATAATATTTAGATGAACTTAAAGGCTAACCAAAATTGCAGAGATGCTAATAGCACAAGTGTCCACAATTATAACTGTATATTGACTTCGAAAAAGTCAAACTGGATATAAGGAAACATAATCAACTTTCTTAAGATGTTCAAGAGTTAACAAATTAGCTTTCACAGTATTCATCATTTCTAGATGTACAGTACTTGTGATATGTCAATAATCAGCAAATGATTCAATAGTTTTTAGAGACTTCATAGTATATCAGAATAAGTTAGTAATGCTCTAATGTGATTAAAAGTAAACAACTATTACTATGCAGAAATAATTATCAATTAAGAAATTCTCTATTCCTTATCTGAAAACAATTCTATAGCTGAAAGGCTTCTGCAGTTACAGAACGATTAATCAATAGACAATATTTTTGCAAATAAAGAATTAGAAGATAAAAAATAGCACATTCATTTGTACTTTTGATTATACCAACTTAAATAAAAAACGTCACTATCAATACTATACTTAATTGGATGCAAAGTAATAAATCTACCTTAACTGTAATCAAAGATTGAAGGTTTCTTATCAACGAGTTTCAGATACACAGATACATAATGAGAGCATTCCTGATAATTTATCCATATTGTTACCAGCTAAAAATTCACTATTGAAAAGTAATCTATAAAGAATTATCAAATTATCAAATAATCTATAGAAGTTACTGGAATTAATTTTATGTCAATCACAAATTAGAAGATCTGCATAATTTTGGATCTATAGGATTCTTAGAATTCACCTGATAAGTCTTATAAGCTGAATAATTGTTATAACGCTTATTTCTATTATTTTTATTATTATTATTATTTCTATTTTAATTATCTTCGTTATTATTATTATTATCATTAAATTAATACTTGTAATTACAAATTTAGTTAGTTTATAACGTAGCAACTAGTTAGCTGTAACAAATTAATTTTGTATAAATAGAATAGCTTTTTGCTTAAGTTGTAAATTAATTCATTTGCAAGTTTCAGTTTTATTACAAGTTCAAGTAATAAATAAAGGAATTAATTTTGAAAAATAATTACTTTTCCCTTCTATATATCTATTATTTAGGATTTGATTGCAAACCACTATACTAACTTGTTTTTGAGTTCATCACTTAGAATAAATAAATTCTTTAAATTTTTCCCTAAATCCCTAAACCTTTAAATTTGTAAAGTTTAGCGAAGTAATTCCAAGGCATTTCAGATACCTGTAGGATGTGAGATTCTCTAAGATTATAAAGTTTGATAATAAGGAATTTACTTGCTGCAGTAAAGTAACTTAGTGAAACATGTGCATTACAAAGAAAATTATTTTCAGTAACAATATAGACAGAATGATCTTCATTCCAAATAGTCTTACACTAGTCGAACGATAACAAATAGAGGACCAATCAGGTCAAATCTGGGTTGCCAAATTTGATCTGATTAGTTCTCTATTTCTTTGTTTTTTTAGAATCAGGTGATCCTGATTGATGACGATTAATGGCACAGATAGGATACAATAAGGTTCCAATCAGGGTGTTATAAAGATATCAATAGGGTTATTCTTATTGATATCAATTTAT